CATACCTTATGGACAAATAAACTCTAGTCTCCCATTTCACTGCGCGTTTGTTAAACCACAGAAGAGGGTGGAGAAACTGCATTCTGGCGCAACGCCGACTTGTTTGCCCAAACATTTAGACCTCGAGTGGGTTTAGTGACGTACATGTTTTTTATCTTTGCTACACCGTACGCTGTACCGCAGCAACGCTGCGACGGTGCTGTGGCCGGAGAGCAACGCTACCTGTCACACATCGGGAATTTGAACAACATGTGGAGGTATTTTCATACTTTTATAAGACAAGCGCAGCTGAAATGGGAGGAACTAGAGTTATTTTGTCATAAGGTAGTGTTGATTATGCATGACAACGAAGTATTTGCTGTCTAGTACTGTGAGCAATTAGCGTTTAGATTGCGCATTGTGAGGCTTTAAATGACTAATATCAGGCGCGTGGTGGGCGTGAGAAGAAACGCTCCAGAATAATTATATAATGTCAGGTTGACATGACAACATGAAATCATTTGCCATCTCACTTGCTCTGGTTCATGGCGTGTAGAGGGACAGTTACGCATTTGATAAATAATGTCAGTTGGGGGGGGGGTGTCAATGTCGAGGATAGGCTCCCTGCTTCCGCCATGGTCCATGCGCACTGACACCTCTCGTGTTGATCTATAATTAATATATAAGAGGTTGTCAACATCTTCAGCACACTCGATTCATGGAAACTTGAGCTAGACGACGTACCGTATAACACATTATAGCTGTTTCATATACGATATAGAAGCTACTGTCATTGCCAGTGACAGTTTATCATGCTTCGATTGTTTCGTATGAGATTTGAGTACCAAGCAAGCAAGCAGTAGAAGGCGCGCGGCAGTGCCTTTCTAGTGTTTAATGTAAGAACGATGGGGTTTTTTTTTGGTGGGGGGATCCGAGGGGATGTTTGAGGAGGTGAGTTGGTTATTGCTTAGGGATGCGAGTTTGACTTTTTTTCGTAGTTTGCCGAGTGTTTGCTGTTAATATCGTGGCGTTCCACCGGGCTAGACCTCACAGTATGAACCTTTCTTGGTCACAGTTTCCTTCTCTCGTAAGGTTAAAGTTATTTGACGGTGAATCCACGCACCTAATATGCGTTAACGACAGTTTCGACGACGACTCGTCCAGCCGTCCTTATTGCTAACTGGCTATTCGCACGCGTTCTTCGTGAGACATCTATGACATCCGAATAATGATGATGATGCATGTGATGATGATGCATGATGATGGGATGATGATCGATGAATTGATGATGATGATGATGATGATATAATTAATGCTAACACTAATAATAACGCGATAACATAAATAATAATAATAATAATCAATACATAATAATAATAAACAACACAATACATAAATATTAATATACAACAACAATACCATAATATAATAATCAAACTAATATAATAATAATAATATATAATAATAATCGCGAAGCGTCTCGCGGATTGCGCAACCTTCGCTTTCGGCGTAAACGCCGCTTCGCCGTACCCCGACGATTCTTCCATCTGCTCGATCTGTCTCTTCCGATGAGTGACTCCTGACCTCGCTGCGACAAATCTCGTGCACGTGCGCCACAGCGCAGTGCGGATAGCGTCGGAGACTGTACAGCCCCGTACAGCCTGGAGTCAGCCCGCGCTGCTCCCGCTGGCAGGCTTCAAGCAAAGAACCTGTTGGAATGCGTGAGGTAAGAAGGGATGGGGGAGTAACGGGAGAGAGGGGAGAGAAGGAGAGGGGAGACAACAAAGAGAGATAGTTGATGCTATAAATAGTTGGGTAGATAGATAGCATAGAATGGAGAGAGAGAGGAGAGGGGGGGAGAGAGAGAGAGAGAGAAGGGGCGAGGGTAGTGTGTTTGTGTTTGTGCGTGCGTGCGTGCGTGCGTTGCGTGCGTGCGTGCCGTGCGAGAGAGGGAGAACGAGAAGAGGAGAGAATGGATGAGAGAATGAAGAGACGAGCACGCCCACAACGTGTAAGTACGTTCTCAAGAGCACGCGTAATATATGTTTGTATCACTGTCGAGAAAGTCATTATAAGACTAACATTAAATTAATTAAGTAATGCTGAGACTAACATTTTTCTGACGATACTGACTCGATGGGGGCGGCCTAGAGATTTCCTGCATCGGTGGGTGTCACCAGCCTATTATAAGCCTCCGACTCTGAGGTGTGCTAATCGTGTGACTATCGCGGAAGTTGTGGCTAGAGAGATGATTCGGAGCGGATGAAGTGACTTCTCTGCATGCTGTTTGCGCTCTTATGGGTACTTCATTCTAATCGAGTGGGGTCCTTCAGTCTTCATTCTATCGCGGACTGGGGTCACTTCAGTCTTCATTTCTATCGGGGAGACTGGGGTCACCTTCAGTTTCATTCTATCGGGACTGCGGAGTCACTTTCGTCTTTTCTATCGAGACTGGGGTCACCTTCAGTCTTCATTCTATCGAGACTGGGGTCACCTGTCAGTTCTTCATTCTTCGAAGACTGGAGTCACTGCAGTCTTTCATTCTATTCGAGACTTGGGGTCACCTTCAGTCTTCATTCTATCGGACTGGGGTCACCTTCAGTTTTCAATTCTTCGTGTCTTACTCCCAGTAGAATACTGTTACCTGTTCCGTGTCTCTGTCACACCTCCGGCATGTGGCATCACAGGTGACGTTACGACTATGTCCCGTATTTGCAGGCGAGGATCGAAGCGTCGTTGACAGATCGACCTCAGCAGCACGCGAAGGACATCGTACGGATCGACGCGACGCGCGAATGGTGGAGCCGATTCTGCCCGGCGAGGATGCTGCGAGGATGTGGTGCGGTGCCGTGGAGAACGGGTTCCGACTCGCGTTCCCGGTCTGCCGACGGCCGGCCGGTTTCGTTTGGAAGTCGTAAATAATCTTCGATATTCTTTGCTCCTCCCTTCTGCCTTCATTACTTCGCGTGCGGCTGCCAGGTGCGCGGATGCGTGTCGGTTTACTGCATCGCCTCAGGTGGCTCTGCCATTTTCGGCGGTGCTGTACGCGCGGCGTATCGGTTAAGAAGTGAGCGAGTAGAGCATGGGCGATTTACGGGGGGGGCGTTCGCCTACCATACTCGCGGTGGGGCAGGTGTAGATTTACAGCTTTAAACGGCATGTTCTCGCAGCAAAAATGACATCAGGACTATACCTACTGTGCAGCTCGTCTATGTTGGCAAAATTCACTACACTCGTTTGTATTGCTACTTCATAACATTTCTTCACCAAATCTAAACGAAAGTAAGCCACCACGTGTGTTTATATCCGGGGACAAGCGGAGCGATCGCAATTTTCATTAACAGTTTTTTTCTATGATAAACAGTTTAATTTATTCGTCGAGTTTTTTTCAGTACAAAAAATTATGATGTATAGCTGACGCCGCGAGTCGTAGATTATGCACGAAGCTGTTTTGTTTTCAGTCGGCCGCCAGAGTACCTAGCCGACGGGTAAGCATTTTGATTATGCATGCCACGAAGTATTTGCTAGTCTAGTACTGGAGAAATTAGCGTTTGGATGCGCATTGCGCGGCTTTAATAACGTAATACATGACGCTATATTAATTAATTTCCATCTTCACGGGACGCCTGACATTTAGTCATTTATTAACGTTATACGTCATGCTATTTCCATTGCTCTTTCCATCTCTGACCTCGTAGTCAGGGCAGTAGACATTTCTCGTTGAAATTCTTAACATGTGTCGTGTGAGATGCGGGTTGCGACAGCTCGTTTGAGCTCCCCGCTGGCTTTGTTCTTTTCTGCTCATCTCCTACGAAATGTGTGTTAAATAATACGGAGCACATGTGCGCTTTCAACGCCTTGGGCACATTAGACTTACTGCATACTGGCAGAATGCCAAATCTTTCCGATTCCTAGGAATCACGCCGTCGCTTGACGAAAGACATTAGCAGTGACGTCACACAGGTCGGCCATGACAGTTACAACTGATCCAAACGATATACCGCCTAGTAGACCCCGCCTAGTAAACCCCGCCTAGTAGACCCCGCCTAGTAAACCCCGCCTAGTAGACCCCGCCTAGTAGACCCCGCCTAGTAAACCCCGCCTAGTAGACCCCGCCTAGTAAACCCCGCCTAGTAGACCCCGCCTAGTAGGCCCTATACCTCTTCCTTTTTATCAAGATCTCTTCGGTACAACAAACGAATTATGTATGCATAATTCAGTTCGGTGAAGAAAATGCTAATAATAAATAGGATAATAATACATAAATAGATAATAAATGATGGATATACTAAATGAATAATAAGTTTATGACATGTTTTAGACTTCTAGTAATTGAGGCAATAACTGGCATGGCAACTCGTACCACTCACTAGCTGTCAGAAAGGGCGGGTGGTTCTCCGACCCATCCAACCCCCCCCCCCCCTGGCTACTGCTTATGTTAACTAGTCTATTTTATGTTCTCTTGCTGATATGAAAAGAATGTAATATTCTCTAACATTGCGCAACTTTGGCACATACAAGGTCCGTTAGTGTTCGTCACGTAGATAACGTTACTAAACCTATCTCCAAACAATCCTGTTCGGCCGCCTTTTCATTGTTCGCGTATACGCATATATATATATATATATCAGGGGGTTAATAATGACAATTTGTTATTATCAACCCCTGCTATATATGTATATGTGTGTGTGCGTGTGTGCGTACATGTATACTTACACACGCACGCACGCACGCATGTTCGTACGCACGCCCACACACATACACAAATATATAATATAAATATATTAATTAAATTAATATATTATACGCGCAATGTATGTGCCTGGGTGCCGAATCTTCTTCTAACATAGAAGGGTTTAGGCTACAGGCATTTTTATTTGCGAAATTTATAGAAAAACGGAAAAACAGACTCAGATTCTCATCAGACCGGTGTTTATCGTTTGTTGTCATGGTGACAACGCGGCAATACTACTACTGCATTACTGAAGTAGAATTTCTTATTCTCTAGGCCTACTCTCTTTTGAACCATCGACATATATTTTGGTCACGAAAGCAACCGAGGCGACACCGGCCCGCTTATCACTATAGGCCTAGTACACGCACACACACACACACACACACACACACACACACACACACACACACACACACACGACACGCACGCACGCATCAGGCACACACACACGACAGCACACCAGCAATGTACGCACATACGCGCACACACACGAGCGCACGAAAGCACACACACACACACACACGCGCACGCACACGCACGCCACGTATCACACACAGCACACACACACACACGCACATACGCGCACATGGCACACACACACACCACACACACACACACACACACACACACACGCCACACACGCAAGCACACACGCGCCACACATGCACACACACACGCACAAGCACACGCAACAGAACGCACACACACACACACACGCACACACACACACACACACACGCACGCACGCACGCACATACGCGCACACACACGAACGCACGCAAGCACACACACACGCACACGCGCACACACACGCACGCACACGTACACACAAACACAAAACGTCTTATAATTAGCGCATTGCATAGCTTAAGATTGGTGCGTGTATAAAACTATCAAGAGTACATAATAGAGATTATTAATCTCTATGATGTAATATTGAACCTATCTAGCATATCCGCGAAACGCGCAATATCACACATGCGATAGTAATATGTTATTCCTAGATTCGCTAGTGTGCAGACGAAATTTTCACCGCTAAAAATCCGCCAATGTCAATGATTACACACAAGAAAAACGCTACGCATCGCAAATAGAAACCCTACATAAATAAAAGTGTCAATGACACTGTAGCTCACATTGGGTGTGATAGAAGAGGGAAGGTGGGATATATAAAGCAAGAGTATATATGGAGAACTCCATTATATAGCACATCTCCGCATTAATATACTCTTGATATATGATATATGCATAAGTTTTGATGCGAAATAAATGTTTCAGAATCTGAAAGTCTGAAATCTTGACGAGAGATGGCGCTACGCCTAAATGATCGCCATTTTGGTTTTCGAATATCGCGCAAGTAAAAACAAATAAAATATTCCAGTCAAATTACTGTAACGAAGAAATCTAAAACACAATATTACACGTTATAGGTATGATTGTAAGTTGTTAACCAGTTAGACCAAATAATACGTATAGGACGTTGTCATCTCTCCATAGGAGTAACAACTGTTTTGGGGCTTGGTCTTACACATTCCACATACCAAAATTTAAATGTCCATTTATTTCATTTGCCAAAAGTGGGCTGGCTCAAGTAGGTCGACTTGCGGCTCCAAAATAGACATCAAATCTCTCCCATAGGAGTAACAACTGTATGCAATTTGAAACATGTGGGTCAAACGGTTCTTGAGTTATCGTTGACTGTAGGCAGACACTGAAATGCATAGTGAAATTGCCAAAATCTACCAAATTTGCATAATTAAAAAAAAATCAAAACCCGTGTGATATGTTTTGGGGCCAGTCCTTATTCATTCACATACTAGAAATGAGCAAAATCCGTTGAACCTGAACTGACTTATGGCCATTTCAATTTTTGCCAAAAAGTGGACGTGGCTCAAACGGTTCTTGAGTTATCGTTGACCGTAGTCAAATATTGACGGACGGACGGACGGACGGACGGACGGACGGACGGACAGACGGACGGACGCACGGACGGACGGACGGACGCACGGACGATGTCAAGGCGAGCTAAAAATAGCAGCACGGAAACGTAGCGTCACTCAACGCATCACGCATTCCTGCCTCGCGATTCATAAACCACTTGGCTCATAAACCGTAAGACACAAATACCACCACTGCGTAACCTTACACTAAATGTCGAAAATAACATCCTGAAACGTTATCGCACGAGAAAAAACGTCGCTGCAACACCGAAAAAATAAAACCCACACCACAAGTAGCAAATTTTCTTACAGCACAAACAAAAAACCCTACAGCACAAGTTGGAAACATCCTTGTAGCACAAACAACAAAACCCGACACCACAAGTAACAAACTTCCTTGTAGCACAAACAATAAATTAAAACCTTACACCACAAGTTACAAATAGATCCTTGAAACCCATAAGTACCCCCTCCCCCTCAGTACAAACCATAAACCCTTACCCCGCAAGTAAAAAACACATCCCTGCAACACATGTACAAACGATTAGAACCTTACGCCACAAGTAAAAAACATGCCTGCAACACAAACAAGAAAACCTTGACACCACCGGAAGCAAACACATCGCGACAACAAACACACTTTCATAAACTTACAGCACAGGAAGCGGGAACCAGCGCCAGATAAACCTACAGCAAACGATAAAGCTATCACCACAAACGAGACACACGCCCGGCCAGCACAACCGACATGGCGTTATGTCGCAAAAACACACACTAAATCTCGCCTTCTTCGACAAGTCACGCATCACGGTCGAAAAACACGCTCGTACGTCGCTCTCGTACGTCACGCTATACGTCACGTCACACGTGGCTTCATCTACACGCCTGGCAATAGAGAGAAACAGACGTCAGCACAACACACCAGCAATTCTTCTAAAGAAGGACATATTTCACACTGCGTATTAATATTAAATGTATGTATTATAATAATAATAATTGTATGTAACAAGCAACTCTCGCGTAAAATTTCGCATCCGATGCGTCCCGCGCGATGCGTTGCCACGGTGACGACGACGACGTACCCAGAACTCGGCGTGGATCACCGCCACACTGCCGACGCTCTCTCTGAGCATCTTCCTTGAGAGTCTGTTGCTAGCCGTCGCTAGGTACTCTGCCGCCGAGCTGGAAAACAAAACAGCTTCGTTCGGCATTAATCTTACGACTTCGCGGCGTCAAGCTATAATCTATAATTTTGTACTGAACAAAGATCGAATAATGAATTATAACTTGTTTTATCATAGAAAAGAACTGTTAAAGAAAATTGCGATCGCTCGGCTGTGTCCCGGATGTGTAAACATCACTGTGGTGCTACTTTCGTAAGAGAAGTACTTTCGTTTAGATTTGGTGAAGAAATGTTATGAAAGTAGCAATAGAAATGAGTTTTAGTGAATTTTTGCAACATAAACGAGCTCACAGTAGGTATATCTATGCATTTTGCTACGAGAACATGCCGTTTTAAGCTGTAATCTACACCCCCCCGCGAGGTAGTGGTAGCGGAAACGCACCCCCCCGTAAAGTCGCTCCATGTCTCTACTTCTCACTTCTTTACGATACCGCGCGTCAGCACCGCCGGAAAAATGGGGCAGAGCCACCTGGAGGCGATGCAGTAAACGAACACGCATCCGCGCGCACCTCGCAGCCGCACGCGAAGTAATGAGGCAGAAGGGGAGGAGCGGAAAGAATTACGAAGATTGATTTACGACTTCCAAACTGAAACCGGCCCCCGTCGGCGACGGGGAACGCGAGTCGGACGCCGTCTCCACGGCAACCGGCACCACATCCTCGCAGCATCCCGCTCGCAGAATCGCTCACCATTCGCGCGTCGGCGTCGATCCATACCGATGTTCCGTCGCGTGCTGCTTGAGGTCGATCGTCAACGACGCGTTCGATCCTCGCCTGCAAAATACGGGACATAGGTCGTAACGTCACCTGTGATGCGTCACATCGGAGTGTGTGACAGAGACACGGAACAGGTAACAGTATGTCTACTGGGAGTAAGACACGATAGAATGAAGACTGAAGGTGACCCCAGACTCGATAGAATGAAGACTGAAGGTGACCCCAGACTTGATAGAATGAAGACTGAAGGTGACCCCAGACTCGATAGAATGAAGACGGAAGGTGACCCCAGACTCGATAGAATGAAGACTGAAAGTGACCCCAGTCTCGATAGAATGAAGACTGAAGGTGACCCCAGTCTCGATAGAATGAAGACTGAAGGTGACCCCAGTCTCGATAGAATGAAGACTGAAGGTGACCCCAGTCTC